GATTTTCCATCTTCTCATGCTTCATCCCAAGAGGATGTACCAGAGGCGAATTCGATGACATTGTCTTCATTACCAATCTAGCTCGCTTAGCTTGTGCAACTCTTCCTGTGTTTTGGAAGTAGATCACACAGAGACATTTGTTAGGTTTTTGTGGTTTGTGAGGTGGGTGAAGGGCAAAAAGTCGGAGCAATCTTACCTCCAAGACCCTTCCCATCATCTGGAAGACCTTGAACAGTCGCAGACAATTGTGTACTAGTCATGGTCGAATCCAATCCGCACACTTTCAAGAGGGTTGGATACCTTTCCAATAAGCTGATCATATCCCTACTACATCTCAGCAAGAGCGCGAGATTGTATTGGTCAACCGTACAGAGGCCGAGGGGAATAGCTAGTCTTAACAAGTGACCAAAGACGATGTAATCAACCGCGTTTGCTCCTGCCGAAAGATACGATTCCTGAGAGCGAGATTGTGATGATCGATAGTCAAGATGAAGCTACGTCATTGAGGGGAGCGGGTATAAAACCAAAGGACTTACACTGTTACCTTTCTCACTATCTTCAACAGCGTCTTTGAAGCGATCCAAATAAACTTTGAAGACATGAAGAACCTCGCGTTCTTCTTCACGATGAGCCCAAGTCTCCAAGAGCCTTTTCAAGATCGATATCCCTACAATCGGTCTTGAATGTTTCAAAGAATGCTTCAAGTCAAGATCTACTGAAATGACATTTTGAGATCCATGCTTTTTGATCGGACTTTCCAGATGACGAGGGCTGGGCTGAATAGGCTGATAGTAAGCTTTGAGAACTTCCATTGTAGATTGCCTGACCGATCTGGGACTTCTTCCATCCAGCAAGAATGTGGTTAGATATATAAACATCTCTAGATCGTTGGGATTTGTGGTGCTTCCACTTGTTAGCCAAGATTGTAACTCAAGTGAAGATCGTCCAGGGGTTGAATGGTCATTTTTTGCGTTCGAGTAGAATGCTAATCGACAATCTTGTGCCCAAAGCTTCAAGATAGCTCTCAGAATATCATTTCGGT